TATAGTATATTAATAATATTAAAGTATTTAAAGACAGTAGGCTATCGTAAAGCTTAATAGGGAGGGAAAGGAGAAATTACCTAGTTCCTTTAAAAAGTAGTATCTCCTTACCTCTTTATTTAGCTATCTAATTTCCCTAATACTCCTAGATATATAGGATTATAGCTTACTAGAGGCTCCTTTTTTACAATCGGTATAGGAAGAGTATCTTCTCTAATTTCTTACCCTTAATCGTCTTCTATTCTACCTTATCGAATATCTAATATTTTATAAGCTATTCCGATTAGCCCGCTCTACACTATCTCTCCCTCCGATACCCTCTGCTACTACAATATATCGTCGTTTACGTAATATAATTATAGAATAACAGAAATCTATCCTCTAAACACTACCTAATAACGCAAAAATCTCGATTATATTAGATTGCTAGACTTCTCTATATAACTAGGCGTTTATAGCTATTACTAGCTATTTTATTAACAGTAACTAGGTATACTAAGAGGTTCTACTTAGATTTAAACCACTTTATAGCTCCTATACCGGTTTAAATCTAAGTGGTGTACTCCTTAAAACTCTAGTTAAGTATAAGATCTAGGATCGGGTGTTTAGAGTTATAACTGATAATATAACTAACAATAAGATAATAGTTAAGGCTATTTAGTAGACACTCTCTAGCAATATAATAGTAATCCGAATACCCTATCTTACCTATATTATCTAGCTTTGTTTAAACTAGCTCCTTAATCGTTTAAAGGCTATCCCTCTAAATAAGAATACAGAAATAAAGTAGACTAACTAGAAGTTATCTACAGTAAAGGTAAATACTTAGTACTAGATACAGAGGATCTTATATACCTTAAATAAGGTCTATTATCTTACTATATATATCTATATAAGTCTGTAACGCTAGGTAGCCTTTCTCTAACTTTAAGAAAAGGGATCCTAGCTTATTCTAATCTAGGATATAAGGACTCGGTAGAATTCTACCTTAATACTTCGTTATACAAAGAGACTATATAGTTTCTTCTAGCCCTTCTATAAGGAGTATAACTGTAAGGAGATATTACTTAATACTTAAGAATAGCGTTAAATTAACTATCTTCTATAAATCACTCGGCTATTCTTTAACTATACAATAGAGCTCTCGAAGATAAAGGAGGTCACTATATATCTTATCTTTAAGATTTATAATACCCTCTTTAATCACTTTTTTAAAGTAGAGGCGCTGCTTAAACGTAAGCGTATTCTATAGAAATCAGATATACTTAAATCACTTATAGCTAGTCGCTTAAAACTTAATAAGTACTACTCTTAAACCAACAATCTTAAAGAATATATCTATACAGTTAGGACAATACTAGCACCTAATAGTAGATTTTAGTTCTTTCTATCTAATAATTAGGAGCCTCACTAGTATAATACCTACCGGAAATTATTCTAGAAATTATTGATTCTATATTAAGAGCGCCTTACAATAAATTAAGGATTAACTAATACTCTAATAATAGTATTATCTAGTTCTAGGCTAAATATAATACTAAAGAGTAATAAGATATCTATAAAACCAGCTAGTAATAAGATAACTCAATATCTCGATAGTGGTATATTTATAATCTATTTCTTCCCTATATAGGATAATACTAATATATTTATACTACTAGATCTAATTAATATTAAACCTCTTTAATTCTAGCGGGAGAACTAATCTCGTTTCTCTATAATTGCGTTACTTACTCGCGATATTCTCTCTATCCCAGTAACTAGTACTAGTGTCGAACAGCTCTTTAATACTACTTAGGATATTTATTACTACCGCTGTGGTTATCTAAAGTCCGAAACAATCGAGGAGCTTATATTGTTTCTATATATAATAAGATTCAATATTAAGGATTCTGAGGTAAAGTAGCTTAAGTAGTTCTTTATACTAGCTGAGATTAAGTCAGCGAAGGAGTAGAACAATAAATATATAGAGGATACTGAGCTTAACCTAATTAGTGATAATAAAGAGAAAGAAGGAGTAGATAATAGACTACGAGAGATATCTCCTTATTTAATAGATATAGATATAGAGGTAACAGAGCTAGAGTTACTAGAGACTGTAACTTAGAGATAGGCCTTAGGGAGGAAGCGTAAGAGTAGGGTAGATAAGGATTTTGAGCAATATTAGAGAAATATATCCTAGTTCAATTATTTGATTTATTCTCTATTTTTTCTAGAAGAGCGCTGTAAGTAAAATACTCAATATTATAAGCAAAAAATATATTAATTATATAGTTATACACTAGAAGTCTATTTGTCTAGTTTACACTATATTGGGGCCCTAATAGGTTACCCAATAGGTTTTGGGTTATAAGCTATAACCCAAAACCTATCGTTAGGTCGAAGCAATGGACCTAAAACCCATTTTGGGTTCGGTTGGGTTGGGTTGGGTTGGGTCCGGGTTAGAGTGGGTTGTGCCGAAGTCTACAACAGAGTACCTAGCAGCAGAGTACCTAGCAGCAGAGTACCTAGCTAAGCAGTACCCAGCTAAGTAGTACCCAGCGATCTTCACCTAATCCTCTTACCTAGGATCGATCCACCCAACGAGATCCTTTAGGATTCGAATATATACTGGCGTAGGAACGAGGACAGGGACGGGGACGGCCGCGGGGACAAAGACGAGGACGTAGAGCTACTACTACTGCAGCTGATACCACTGCAGCTACTCCCACTGCAGAACGTAGCTGTAGCCGAGGACGCGGTCGGGGAAGGGGACGTAGAGCGAGTACCGCTGTCACTGAGAACGCCGAGGAGAGTAATAAGACTGGGGGACGGGGACGTGGTCGAGGCCGGGGACAGGGACGAAAGCGCGCGCGGAGAGGTGACTGAGAAGTATCATCAATATATAGAGTACTAGGCAGTAATCAGGTATAATGTACGATTTTTTCTGATTAAAATAGTGCATTTTTTACTATGTAAACCGGAATTACTATAGTGGTGGCAGAATATATGGCAGTATAAAATACAGCGGCAGAAATTACGGCAGAATCATCGGTCGCACCCAATTGAGAAGGCGGTGACTGAAAATCAGGCAGGGGGGGTTGCATTAACAATCCCCTAGATATATTGATATTGAGTATAGGAAGACGTTTAAAGGCAGTACAGAGAGCCAAGGGTTATTATACAAAATATTAAGCGAGGAATTCATTGTGCGGGTATTCAGCTTACTTATATTTTTTTAATTGAATTAATTGAACTAAAGAAATGGTGGTGTAGTGTAGTATATAGTAGATATATATATTTGGTAGGAAGCCATAAAAAGCGGAGCGGGTAAGAACATATGGAAGGTGATGTATATATTGTACTTTGTACGGGTCCCCTATCCGCTCTGAAACCACAAACAAATACAATGCAAACTATCGCCATACTTTGTATAACAACAAATAGGAGCGCTCTCCAATCGTCTTTTATACTACGTATTGTACTACTTATTGCATAAGGCCCCCACCAAGAGAAAATGGATGCCTTGTTTAACCATACAGAAGGGCTGTCTACATGGTAAGTGTGGCTGATAATGCAAATTACAAAAGAGGCTGCGTCTATGTTGGCCTGTATATAGGTGTATAATGACATCACTCCTATACTAATAAAGAAGACATTGTAGGCGCCTAGCGCAGGCAGCCATTCAATTATGACTCAGGGTTCTAACTAACCTTGGAAGGAATATGAGTCAGACCCAAGTGACCCCAAACCTCATCAATAATATTTTCCAAAGTTGAAACATTATAGTATTTATCTGAATTGAGGAACACCCTCCTCTCCCCAAAAAGGAGTAATAAAAGCGGACCAGAAAAGCAAAACCAAAAGTAAAATATAAGTAAGCCAGGAGAGCAGGAGAGCAGGAGAACATGAGAACAAGAGAACAAGCAAGAAATCAAAGATAAGGATCTACACCAATCGATCACATGGGACAGGGGTTAGTACTATAAAATGATTGGCTCACCCCTCCTGCGGCTGATCCTATTAGGTGATTGCCCGCATGGGATGTTGTCACATGTGGACTTTAGGCAGGAAAAGAGGAAAGGAAGAAAAAGTGCATCAGGTTACATTTACATTGTATGTATAAGGAGTATGCATATATGTCTCTCAAATTCTCAAAAGTTACCAAAACTTCTATGCTGGTACTTGTATATATACTTTGTACTTTAGGTTTATGTACACATTTAACCAGGTTTGAAGTACCATCATAAATACCTCAAAATACTTTGAAAATATATCGAGAATACATCAATAATTACATTTTGATATGTATTATTACCTGGGAACGATAGTACACGAGGTACCTCTATGTACCTATAGTACCATATGGTAACTTTGGATGTACCAAATGATGAGATCAGCTGGTTCTTTCCAAATGACGCCTAAAACATATGCCCCCCCCCCCCTCTCTTCCCCTCCCTCTCTCAGATCCCCTTTTGCGCTCTGATGCTCTTCCAACTAACCCTTTTACAGTCAGTCCATTGGTCTCATGAGCCCCTGGAGAAACTCGGAATCTCCCATTAAGCGCCACCCCGCAGTTTATCATCACACCTCAGCCCCATACTGACTCACAGTTCGCTTTCAACCTTGGAATATTCCCTTCAACTTGCCCTCTTTTTATTTTATCTTCTCTTCCTTTCCACATCCTTTTCTTCATTTGGTCTCTCCCCTCGATGGACCATTACCTTCTTCATCAAATTGACTCATTCGGCCATTGGAGCCTTAACGCCGAGACTTAGGTCATATTTGCTTATCGCCACTCAGAGACAAAGAGGCAGACCTGACAAATCACCTGTTTTGCCTGGTGATTCAATTTCCATTGACTTCCATAAACACTCGCTCAACTTTCGCCATCCATCTTCCCATTCTACCTGGTGTATTCATCCCCTCCCCTCTCTTGCCAGAAACCCTAGCCCTGGATACCATTGACCACTTTAACCTCTCATTGCCAACTACCGGCTCAAACGGTATTTAATTCTGGAATGACTTCATCTGCTGGCTGGCAGCCAGCCAAACAGCCGACCAGTATGCATCGTCTCCCATCCGTTTCTAGCCTCATGTCACCCCCAGAGACCAAGCCTCTCGAGAGCTTTCCTGTCTCGCTTTCACCATTTACAAAGCCTCGAGATTCTCCAGCTCGTGACATACAGCTTCCACCTATCTCAGCCGATCGAAAACGGACGCAATCAGAGATGGACCTTCCATCGCCACCTGTGACTCCCTATACGGGGAACAAGAAGAGCAATTCTCATGCCTCGGATCAAATTGAAAGGGACTTGGGATCTCCCAGGGATCCTGTCCTTTTCCCCCCGCAGGACTCCGTTACTGACGTTTCTACGGATGAGCCACTGTTCGGCCCCGTTCACCCTCCATCTGCAGAGGCACTTGTGGAAGAGCACATGAATTCGCATATGGCAATTTTTCGCAATAAGTTGAATAAACCCACACGAGATGAATACCTCCTGGCGCTCTCCTGTGTTCCTATTGTCTCGACCCAATACAATCGTAATCCGGCTGCCTGGGCTCGAGAGGAACGGGAGACGCTGGAGCGCCAAATGGCCATGATGAACCGCTATCGCTCAGGGGATTATGAACCCAAATTGAAGAAGATTGCTCCTGCTCCGGCGAAAAGGTCAGGAACCCAGCCGCGCATACAGCGAACCCGGGTCAAACGTACCCCTAAATCCACTCCCAAGCAGCAGGTGCTTGACAACTTTGATCCCCCCAAACCCCGCTTACCAAGCCACGTGCCTTGGGTACGAATCGTGATGACACCGATTATCACTCACTCAAGGATTACTCGCCCCCGACAGAAACGCTAGGCGGTAATGCCAAAGCATTGAAGGCAGATTGGAAGGGGCAGATGTTGGATTTGAGCAATGACCCGGACAGAAATATTCTCAGTCCCGCCGAACTCAATCTCGCCTCCACTCTGAGACTTTCATGTGCGACCTATCTATGCAGCAAGCGTCGAATTTTTGAAGCTCGGGTTCGAGCCCTTGGTGTTGGCAAAGAGTTCCGCAAGACAGATGCCCAGCAGGCTTGCAAGATCGATGTCAATAAAGCCAGCAAACTTTGGACCGCTTACGAACGTGTGGGTTGGTTTAAAGCTGAATATTTCCATCAATATCTAGCATGATATCGCAGGATATGTTTTTGATTGGTACCGTGGATAATGATGCCGCCAATTCATAGTCCCCCCCCTCCCTTGTCTGTCGTCTCCCATCATAGGCTGAGCCATCTCAAGACACTGTTTCCAATAACTGACCATTCCACCCCAGTGTCTATCACTGTGCAATACAGCCCTCGACTATTAATCCATATTTGAGTGCTCTCAGCTCTCTTCACCCGACTAAGACAAATTTCCTGGATCAACTCGTGCTTACCTCTTGGCCTTTCGGTTTCTCTCTGCTATTTCGCTTTTACGACACATCACGACACATTCTTTTCTTTTGAGATTCCCCCTTTCTTGATTTTTTTCCTCGTTTTGCATGCAGACCCCATGGGAATTTGATTCTTTGCAACTTTGGTTGCTGGCTATGGCGTTTGGGTGCTTTCACTTCAGTTTGCTTTGGTCTAGAATGGCAGGCTTGGTTAGCCACAGGTGTTTTTCTTTTCTTTCTTCTTTTCTCTACTGCACTTGAATTTCACTGCTTGATCATTCTCCGTTTTCCCCCCTTCCCTAGAGAGGCAATAAATAGCACATAGGATAAGGCTTGATACCCTGATCAGATATGGATTTCCTAGGTACATCACAATGAATTGATACGATTTAAAATGTATGATTGTATTATAATTATAGTAATAGTCGTATATATTGTTATAATTAATAAGTTCAACACATATATTTACCCAGTACACACAGCGTACATTAAGTAGTTATTCAGTGGCCAATTTGAAACCAAAAATAAAGCGGTGGGGCGCAATCGTAATCCTCCGGCAGCCCGGCGCCACCTTTTTTTGACGTATCCCTTGTAATCATCTTTCACTTCACCCCAAACTTATCCCAATTTCGTCCTTGAACTTATCTTGGTCAACATGTCTCAAGAGATGACTCGTGCTGAGTCTATCGAGGAACAGGAGCGTGCAAGAGATGATGGCGACAAGAAGCCAAAGTCTCGCCGACCAGCCAGTAGGTCCTGGGCTTTCATTGACTCTTTGTCCCAACTAACTTGTTCTTACCAGATACTGCTTTCCGCCAGCAACGATTGAAAGCATGGCAGTAAGCTTGAGATTCCTGTATCTGTCCTTGGACCACCGTGCTAACCTTCCAATAGACCAATCTTAACCCCTAAAAGCGTTCTACCTCTGTTTTTTATCGTCGGCGTGATCTTTGCCCCAATTGGCGGTGTTCTCCTCTGGGCAAGCTCTCTAGTATGTCTAATTTACTTACCTTTTTTTTTTTTCGTGTCCACAACGGAACAGCTCTGACGAGCTACGTGCTCTAGGTCCAAGAAATTTCCATTGATTACTCCGACTGTTATACACAGGCACCGAACGACAGCTATGCCCCCGTTCCTCACTATTCAGCGACCTTCAAATCTTCTAAATCTATATCGCCACCCATGTGGCGCAAGTCCATCAATGAGTCTGATTCGGGCAAGATTATTACTTGCACCCTCAGGTTCGATGTTCCGAACGAACTGCCAGCACCGGTTTTCATGTACTATCGCCTCACCAACTTCTATCAAAACCACCGTCGATATGTTCAGTCGCTCGATTTGAATCAGCTGAAAGGAGACGCTGTCTCTTACGATACGATCAAAGGTGGCCCATGTGACCCATTAGCAGTCAACACCACCGTTGAGAAGGTATTCTATCCATGTGGATTGATTGCGAACTCATTCTTCAACGACACCATTGGGAAGCCCCAAATCCTAGATCCGAATGCATCCGGGAATGAAAAACAATTCTACGAAATGACCGATAAAGGCATTGCGTGGGACAGTGATAAGGAACTCATTAAACAGACAAAGTACAATATGAATCAAGTGCTGCCACCGCCAAACTGGGTCTGGGCGACCGAGAAAGGTGTCTATAAGGAGGATCCCAAATTACATGAAAATGAAGCTTTCATGGTTTGGATGAGAACGGCTGGTTTGCCATCATTCAGCAAGCTTTCCCGCCGCAACGATACTCACGGCATGCCTGATGGAACCTATACCATTGATATTGTTGACCGTATGTGTTACTACTGCCTTTTCTCCGCGTCTACTAACTGTTCAGGTTTCAATGTCACCGAATACGATGGAACCAAGTCGATCCTGATTTCTACTCGAACCGTGCTTGGAGGTAAGAATCCATTCATGGGAATTGCCTATGTAGTTGTTGGTGGAATCTGCGTCGTTCTCGGGGCTCTGTTTACTGTCGCGCACTTGGTGCATCCGAGGTATGATCTCCTTTTTGAAGAGAGAAACTGAAGGAAAGTCCGAAGAACTAACCTCCTTACCAGAAAACTTGGTGATCACACTTATCTTACCTGGGATTCAAATCAACCGAGCACTGCCATCGCCACAGGACGGGATAATGCCCCTTGATTCCTTTTTTCTTTCTTTTTCTTGGCGTTTTTCTTTCTGTTTCAATATGCCCTGTAAATAATCCCTGTGTTCAGTGACCTCATCCTTGAATCCTTAACATACCAATCGTTTTATTCTCTCTAATCTTTTATAACATGTTCCGTACCCCTTGCTCAAGACATGCATTCCCGCATGACGCAACATTCATGGAATCGGACAGTTTATATGATAACCCCCACCCCAATACTGGACGATCTCGAGATTGATGGTTCTTTTCTTTGACTCTCCGTCCACTCCTTTTTGTTTTGCTCTCTTTTTGGAACAGATGTGAAAGGGGAAATCAAAACCTGGGCTTCTTCATACCATGGTCTGTCACTCATTTTTCCAACTCATGGTCCTTGTCACCATTTTTCTGCAGGTTCGGTGCATCCCTTATGCCCTCCAGAAAAGAGGCGTCTGTGCTACTGAAGACCCCAGTGCGGGTTTCTTGCATAAAGTAGGCCGCCTCAAGTCGGATGAAGCCGATCCTACTAGTTCACAGGCCAGGAAAGCTCCGATCGAGATCGAGACCTGGTTCCATATCATCAGCAGCAAGTCGGAGTCTACCCAGGTCACCGATGATATGATCAATTCTCAAGTCAGTTGCTAATTTTTCGACTGGTATCTCAGTCCTAATCCATTTTACGTACAGCTGTCTATTTTACAACAATCTTATGCACATTCTGGAATCTCCTATCGATTGCAAGGTGTGACTCGTCATATCAATGATAAGTGGGCAAGTAATGCAGATGATTCGGCAATGAAAACGACTCTTCGAAAAGGAACCTACAGAACGTTGAACGTTTACTTCCAAACTGATCTCCAGTCCTCTCCTGGACAAGCAGGGCGCGCTTTCGGGCACAGGGGCGCAGTCATCAACAATGACCTGGGATCCAGCGTTCTTGGATTCTGCACGTTGCCAGATCCGAGTGTCAATGCCAGCAGCCCGGCTTCTCACTATATCAAGGATGGCTGCAATGTTCTGGCCAAAACAATGCCTGGTGGCTCCTTGGATCTCTACAATCGGGGTGGAACTGCCATTCACGAGATTGGACACTGGAATGGCCTTTTACACACATTCCAGGGAGAATCTTGCTCGCCAGATAACCCTGGGGACTACATAAGTGACACACCACAGCAGTCCACTCCGACAGATGGGTGCCCTTCCCAGAAGGATTCGTGTCCGGACTCCCCGGGACTGGATGCAATCCACGACTTTATGGATTATTCATCTGATGTATGCTATGAGCGCTTCACCCCCGGACAAGGAGAGCGCATGCGGAGTATGTGGATATCCATGCGAGAAGGGAAATAGTGCGACAGTGACTGGCAACAAATCCAATCTTGGACTACATGCGAAGCTTGTAGTCCATCTGTAGCCATATGTACAAGCAGGAGAGGGCGTCAGAAGCAAACCAGCCAACTAGCCTAGTTGGTTGTTATGATTTAGGGAAATGCTAAATGCTACCTGTCTAAAGGACCTTCGAACGAATATCATGCATGAATACTTAGAGTACAGTTAAGAGACGTTAAGAGACAGGTTTCCTCCTGATTAATACCATGTATGTATCTTGCTCGGATTTCCGATCCACTGTTGCATACTCCGTAGATTGGAACACAAAGTGTAAATGAAGTGAGAGGATGTCATTTAATTCTCAAGCGGCAACGGCAACGGAGTGTTCGATTAGCGCTTGCGTTTGATCCCGCGATCGTTGTCTTCATGGGCAGTCTCCTTGTCTTTACGTTTCGCCTTTTCCTCAAGCTCGTCCCAGTCCTCACCACTTTCCTCATCGCCGCTGAAATCTTCCTCGCTGGCATCGGCACTCGCATCATCATCGAATTCACTGTCTTCCTCGGAACTCTCATCTCCAGCTGCAAGCTCCGAATCAGACAGCTCGAAAGCCGACTCCTCTTCCTCATCCGAACCGTTATCAGAGTCTGACTCGGCGGATAAGAAAGACCACCCGCCATCGGCAAAAAACCCGTATGGATCACTGACAACTGTTTTCATGATTGTGGTCCAATTCAGGTTGAGCGGACCCTCTGTGAACGCAATATCAACAGAATCAAGCCAATCCTTAACACCTTCAAGTGCCTCGACAGGAATAGTGTTGATATGAACTGGAGCCCGGCGGAAATCCTTGAACACGAAGACCATGTCGAAGTTTTTGAGTCCAAACTGCGCATGGATTAGTCACAGCCCGAAAAAATAGTAGTAAAGGGGAAAATTTACCTGAACTCTCTCCAGATGGGCAATCTCGATTTCATTCAACGTGACGGTCGTGAAAGGAGGTTCAGTGAGCTGAACTAGGGCATCCGTGGTCGGTTGTATCAAGACATTGGATCGGTTTGGAACACCAGTAAAACCAATCTCCCTGAATGGGATATCGACATCGACACCCTCATCCTTGCCAGCGTCCGCAATCTTCTCGGCAAAGGCCTTGAACTCGCGGTCTAACGCAGCTCTCCGTCGTCTTTCCTCCTGTTCAGCCTCAAACTCTTCTTCGTCTCCGTAGCGGTGCTTGCGCCGACGGTTTCCAGTTTCATCAAATTGCATTTCCGTGGCCTCGCGATAGAATTGAATATCCTTCGTCTTTCGCTTTCCAATCATGATGGGCGTCTTGAGATGCACGTGGATGAGAACGATTAATTCATGGGCACATGGTTGGAAGAACAGATGCTTCACGTTGCTGAAGAGCACGTCGACATGCTCATTGCGGAAGGGTGATAGGTATCGAAGACCATTCTGATGAATCTCGACCTCTCCCGGAACGCGTTTTCCATCCAAAGGAGGCCGGAGGTAGACGTCTGGCAGTTTCACTGGACGTCGGTTTCTAATTTCAACGAGTTTATCCTGCTCAACAACGTCTTCTAATTCCTTTTTTTCCTGCTCTCGTCTCAAGGCCGTCTTGCGAAGTTCTGTGATATCCTGGGCGACGCGTGCAAGTCGGTCGTTATCTTTAGACCGGAGAGTGAGATTGCGAACGAAATGAGCTGACAAGTCTTCAAATGGTTGGTCATCCTTTCGACCCACACCCTGCCCCGGAGACAGGAAGTTGATTCGTAGGTAGGCGTATTCTCCTTCGTCGCTTTTACTGGCGTTCTTTATGGTGTTGATATGAAAGGGAACTGGGCGGCCCATGATGGGCACAATCACCGTTGAAGTCTTTAGGTCGACGTAGACTGTAAGATCTTTGACCTTGGCAGGGAGTTGGTTGTCTCGTTTGTAAGACTCGAAGCGCTTGAATTTCTTCTGTGCCACCCCATTGTCGTCTCCCGTAGTACCGGTGAACCGATCCAAGCCTTCCTTCGTCTTTTTCGCAGCCAGTTCTTTCTGATGCTCTCTACGACGGGCTTCAGCTCCCTCATTGACCTGAGTTGGTCTTTCGGCGCGGAGTTTGGTTCTCGTGACATTTCTGCCAGCAGTCGCGCTAGACTTTGCCTCCTTTTTCTCTTTCACGGGCTTCTCGGGTTCTTCCTCATCCCCGAAATAGAATGAGATCGAGTCCATGTCAATACCAGCGTCTTTGGTAAAAATGTGGGGTCCACTTTCTCCGACACGAACTGTATCGGTGATGACCATAGAATAGCCACCATTCTTGGAATTTTTCGAGTCTGGATCCTTCACATCAGTCAGCCCGATTGTGATGGATAGCGTCATGCCGTTTTTCAAAACGCGGTTGTTCTTGGCATTGAGGACCATATTGGCATCCCGGAGCTCGATTCCAATTCCTGCGCCAACGTTCTTGACAAAGTGTCCCTCCAGCTCGGGCTTCTTGGACCGGACAAGGCTCAGTGCTTTGTTGTAAATGTCCTTGGCGACTACGCCATCTCGAACCTCTTTCATGGTTGCTTCATGGAGGCTCAGCAGTAGAGCATAGTTTGCTTCTTGTGATTTGGTTGGGTCAACCAAATAAGTACGCCCAATGAGCGAACTGTACGTCTTGTATCTGATTCCAAAGCTGGACAGAATGATACCGGGTTCGAGGTTTTTACTGTCGGGAGTCGCTGTGAGCTTGAGATCGTAGGCGCCTCCGCTTTGAATCACAGGCCCGTATGCCCAGTCGATTTGCTGAGAATCAAATTCTGAAGGCAGCCGTGCCAGCTTATTGAAAAATTTCCCATCGTCAATCTTTGCATCAACCTTTGCGGCGAGGGCCTTGTGCGTCATCTTCTTTTCTTCGTCGAGCAAACGTGACATCTCATCCACGAAATACTCTGACATAAGGCCACTACAAGCTCTGGAAGCATTGCGAATTGAGACCTTTGAGACAATATCAGCAAACACCACTTGTTAAAACATGCCGTCATAGATAAACTAACCAATTCATCGGAGTCCTTGACGGCAAAAGCAGCTGAGAGTGCAGGTGCTATATCAACTTCCTCGACTTCTTTCGATATTTCCGCAAATGCACGTTTCCATTCATCTGCGAAGGGGCCCGAAGCTGTATTTTTGGGTAAGGTGCCAACTTTGTTCTGCGGTCGTTTTAGTTAGCGGAAGATAAATCAAATTGATTGCAAGATCATTTTAGCTCACCCCCGCACCCTTGATAACATCCAAGCATTTCTCAAATGCTTTGGTCTTTGATTCTGGATCTTTGGTAGTGACCAGAATCTCGACGGGAATCTTTCCTTCTTTCAGCGGCTCGAGGTGTTTGGCTTTAATTTGATTGAATTAGCTATGCGGCGCGCGAAAAAATTCAAGTGTTGATAATCACCTTTCTTGGCAGTGGTGACCACGTAAATCGCTTCAGTTGTGAGGATAAACAGTGTCGCTGGGAATTCATATCCGAGAAGCCAGAACTAGTAACAAAGTCTATTAGTACCAATGTCATGAAGTCCATGGGCCTTTGTGGGACAAGGATAGGACTTTAGCAGATGATTCACATACATGCATTGCGTTGTTCTTCTGAAATGAGTTCTCCTCGTCAGTCTTACCCATCAGAATGACTATCGACGTTGCATTGCCGTAGAGGGCATTGCCTGAGCGCTTGTCGGCCTTCCATGACGCATAGAAACTAGACAGGCGGTTGAAAAAGGTGTTATTATCAATGGCAATCTCCTCGGCCATGATGGCGGCCTGGTGCAAGCAAGAAATGCTGCAGTCAGAGTAGGTCGGTGGCAAGAAAGTTTAGAGAAGCGCAGGAGTTATTGCAGGTATATCCGAGTGTTAAATTTGTTGAGAATGAAGAAGAAGGTAGATAGAAAATGAAGGCAGCATCAATACGACAGCTGCGATGATGAGAAACAAGAACACACTGGTAGAGTTGGGCTGCGGAAGAAAAGACAAAGATAGAAAGGGACGGCTTAGGGGAAAGCAAACGCGAAAAGCGCGTTCTGCATTTCAGGTCTCTCTATATTACCGTATCAAAGTATTACCACTTTCGTACTAGCGCTATTTTTCATCTCTCTCTCTTCTCTTGTTGAATCGAAATACTTTTGTAAATAGCTCCTTTCATTGACTTTCTTTCTATCTTCAACTTTCAAGTCAACATGGCACACCTTCACTTGATCGTTTGATTGGATAATAATCATATCTTGTGATGCTGCCCTTTTTTTTCCGCCTATATCGCCTGCGCTTTAGACTTCCTTCACTATCGACATTGAGCCAGTCTCTCTTCGAGAACCCACAGGCATCATTTCCTACGATGTACACTGCGGCTTTTTAGTTGGCCGTAAACAATGAAGTCTCCGATAGCTCCCATCCTTCTCGAGCCCCATCTCGGCGAACTTCCAGGAAGTTCGCGAAGGATTTCTCGCAACGATGCAGCTACCGGAGCATCTGCTGCAGGCGTTCGTGCTCTCAGTGCACAGATGGTGGCTTTCTATTTCAGGGCGCCGATCAAAGCTTTTTTTCGTATGCGTGTCGAGTATGTAGTATCTATGGACCCAATGAGCTTTGTATTAACAATATTTTACTTAGTTATATGGTACACTTTCCTATCATCTACAATAAATGAGAAACAAAATCAATCCATCAGCAGTCTTCCTTACTTACCATTTTGAAACAGGCATTTGCAAGAGCTGTGAACCCCCGTGTCGCCGAAGGCAAATGGTCTCTGCATACGACAACTCCGGGATTATTGCTCCATGCCGTTCGGACATATGGCTGGCGGTTTATCCCGAATCAAGTGCTCCCACCCTTGATGGCAAATGCAGGGTAAGATATTCCCGAGGGTAGGGCTCTAGGTGATTTGAAGCCGTTAACGATATATATCAGGGTTGGTGCTGTTCTCTACACGTCCTATCTCCAAGTTTTGGGAGCTCTACATGAACCTGTATCCCAAGGGGTCAAGCGAGTCTGGCCTCCGGCTCCTCCTTCTGCAACATTCGCAGCTGGATTCACCGCCGGCACAATTCAATCGATTGTAGCTGCCCCTCTGGACGCGTTACAGGTTCGCTTTCAGACCAGTGACATGTTGGAGGGCCAGTACCGGAGTATGTGGCATTATGGCCACCATAAGCTCAAACAGATTGGTCTCCGCGGGGTCTTTGCGGGCTGGAGCCTGTCATTCATGCGGGATTCTCTCGGCTATGCTGTGTTTTTCTCCTCGTTTGAATACATTAAGTCACAGTCCTACTATTCCTTCGTCACTTGGTACTACGGCTCCCTGCAAGCTGATCATGTGGGCATGCTTTCATCATCTGAGTCTAGTGATCGTGGGGTACCTCTCATCAAGCCCCACTATGCACTAGAACCATGTTTCCTGATGATAGCTGGCGTTGTGGCATCGATAACCCAGCAAACCATTCAGCACCCTCTAAGTAGGATCCAAGATCTTCACCTGGGTCGACTGGAATACCTAGATCACCAGGCCAGTTTCATACCCTCGCGACAGAAGATGATACGACTATACTACCACGCCTATCAAGAGACCTTTAAGAGGTGCAAGCGGAAGGCTGCGCGGGCCGGGGGATGGCAGTCCTGGTTGTTCCGTGGGTTTATCGGGAGCTCTCTTCGCCAAGTGCCTAGCACCAGTGCGGGCCTGATCATTTTTGAATTGGTGCGCCGACGGTACGCAAATCCCGCAGATGCTGTTCATATTCAGAGTGATGGATATGATATCCTTCTCACTTAGTGGTTTATATGACGGGTTTTCTTATCCTCTCCCTTTGAATTTTTGTGGCCGATATTTTTTTTTTACTATTTAGTTCCCCCGCCCCCCTCTTGTTCATTATTCCGAAGCGTCAAGGGCATTAGAGTCTTGTTTTATTAGACCCAACATACACTCACGTACATACACAAGCGATAACAGCCACAGACTATATATATGTATACCTGGACGTCTGAGAAGATAACTTTGATCACTGTAAGAATCAAATATAAATGGACTCAAATGTAAATGTGGGTTGTTGCAGGCACCTATATAGGGGGTGAAAGCCTTTGTCCTACATTCGAGAAGCATAGGAAGTTTCTTTTTATTTTCCCAATCGGACCGAGTCTGCATACAATTTTTGATCGAGATATACTCTCTTTCATGTTATATACGTGCTAGTTAGTTAGTTATCGTTATATGGTGTACATAAATAGTAGCCCATTTGTCGATCCTTCCCGCATTAGACGATATACACGCGTATTATGTAGTACTTCGTAGTACCCGTGGACGTATTCCGTATGCGTACATATCAAAGATACCACTTGGCATTACATATCGGACCTCTCCCCTAAATTATTAGGAGGGCTTGTCCTCTTTTCTCTACTTCGTACTTCTATTTGACCCCTAAAAAAAGTTTTTATTTTACTTAGATTCTCGGGAAACGATCAAAATCATCTGAATCCGTTCTATTCTATATTTGACTTTCTTTGGTTGTGTATTACTCTCTTGCTTTGCTCGGGACCCTTACTTTCTTGCCCAAACGCACCCCCTCTCTCCAAATCTCCGCCTGACCCTCACCCCATTTTGACGGTCCTTCGTCATCCTGCGTCGCGTGTGACTTTACGTAGCTAGTCGCCCGCGACCACATTGCCTGAGTGGCGCCCTATTGCGGACTGATACAGTGACCTTCAAGGTTGTACCCAGGTGGTACCGTTGCTGACCTCCTGCGGAGAAAGCTCTTATCGATATCATTAATTCCATCGACTCCGCATTCCTTTTCCCAGACCAAAGGGCTGCGAAGTTCAGCCCGTCAATACCGCCATCATTTCTCCGACTTCTGCCACACGCGCCTCTAACATACCCCTCCGGTCCATATCCCGCTCAACACATTCGGCCAAGTTATTGGAGTCCGAGAAGGGTAGTCGACGACGGTCTTCCCACTCGTCTGCTCGCTCGGCCGAGTCTGACTTCTCAATCTGGTCAGACACCGGTGACCTCGCCGAGCAGTTCGCTGAGACTGAAGATCCGCTGCAGATTCACCTTCGCAATTCCTCAGACCGACAGCTCTTGCGTCGAAAAGACCGGAGGAAGCAACCCAATCACGTACATTATCCTTCAAACGTGAGTAACGAGCGTACTGGAGTCGATATTGAAAAGATCAGAATACCAAACCCTCCCCCGCGACATATTTCGAGAGTTGAACGAGTTCTGGCCGCCATAATGACCCCCAGAAATGCACCAAACGCCCAGATGCACGGTTTAGTCGGAAAGCCATTACTGTGAGTATTTCAAATGACTAATTACTGTAGTATTACCACTGACTCGGGTTTACATGTAGTTACTTCACAAGTGTGTTTGTATCACTAGGTGTCTTTCTTTTTGGCTATGACCAGGGTGTAATGTCTGGCATCATAACGTTCGTGTCCAATCCCTCGAGTATATACTCGTTATAGAGATTAGGATCAGAATATGACTAACAGAAGCAGTGGCTCGTATTTCAAAGATTACTTCAATCAACCTTCTCGGGCTACAATTGGTACCGTGGTTGCAGTTCTCGAAATTGGAGCATTCGTATCATCTCTCCTTGTGGGGCGTGTCGGTGATATGATCGGCCGTCGAAGGACTATCCTCTATGGCTCCATCGTGTTCTTCATTGGCGGTGCTTTTCAAGCATTTGCCACGGGTATCCCCATGATGACGGTCGGTCGTGTCATTGCTGGGCTAGGTGTCGGCGCCCTCTCTACCATTGTGCCAGTTTACCAGTCTGAAATCTCGGTTTGTTATCCCCTCTCTCGATCAACCCTCGGGACTTTTTGTTTGCCTACCTCCCCATTCTCTCGTTAGGTATGCTGACGCATTTCAAGCCTCCTCATAACCGTGGGAAGCTCGCATGCATTGAATTCACCGGTAATATTGCAGGGTATGCGACCAGTGTGTGGGTAGATTATTTTTGTAGCTTTATCGATAGCGACTACTCCTGGCGCCTCCCACTCCTTTTTCAGTGTGTCATGGGTGCCTTGCTTGGGTTTGGCAGTTTGATGATCTGTGAATCACCTAGGTGAGTAGCAGTATCTCCCCCACCCTCTGCCAGACTAACTCCCAGGTTCCTACCTAGGTGGCTTCTTGATAATGATCATGACGAGGAGGGGATGGTGGTGATTGCAAATCTTTATGGCGAAGGCGATCTTCTTAACGACAAGGCCCGCCAAGAATATCGTGAGATCAAAATGAACGTTCTCGTCCAGCGACAGGAGGGCGAGCGATCCTACTCGGACATGTTCCGCCGGTATCGCAAACGTGTTTTGATTGCGATGTCGGCTCAAGCCCTAGCTCAACTCAACGGGATTAACGTCATCTCATATTATGCGCCTCTCGTGTTTGAATCGGTATGAATCCCATACGCTACTATGAATCCAGAGTTTTCCTTCCGCGGCATCATGTCGGATTCAAACAAAATCCAAAAAGATATAGGATTATGCTGACCAATTTTCGATATAGGCCGGCTGGACTGGACGGGATGCCATCCTGATGACTGGAATCAATGGTATTTCATACTTGCTGTCTACCATACCGCCGTGGTATCTTGTGGATGGCTGGGGCCGACGACCAATCTTGCTTTCGGGTGCTGTTGCCATGCTCATTTCTCTCTCTCTTATCTCCTACTTTATTTACATTGAAATTCCCGCCACTCGAACCCTAACGGTAATCTTTGTTATGCTCTATAACGCAGCTTTTGGGGCATCTTGGGGCCCCATTCCATGGTTATACCCCCCGGAAATCTTGCCTTTGAGTATCCGTGCCAAAGGTGCAAGCCTGAGCACTGCTTCAAATTGGGCATTCAATTGGCTCGTGGGCGAGGTGACCCCTGTTCTTCAGGAAGTTATCAAGTGGCGCCTATACCTGGTCCATGCTTTCTTTTGTGCATGTAGTTTTGTGCTTGGTAGGATCCCTCATTCGTGGTCATTCACTGAAGTCCATTGTACTGACTATCATCACAGTTTATTTTTTGTATCCCGAAACCAGTGGGGTTCGTCTCGAAGATATGAACATTCTTTTTGGCGATGCTTCCACGGCCATGCCGACACCTGCCACTCAAGGCGAACGGGGGTCGCTGATGGGTGCTGGTTCACCTGTCCCATCGCTTGATCTGCGTCGGCAGTACGGTCAATTTGGGGCAGATAATTCTATCCCTGGCCTAGATATTGATCCGCCGACTTCAAGCCATGAAGGGACCAGCAAACGTGGACGCTCAGATTCTCACCAAGGCAGCGTTCGTGGCGAAGGAATTGGTGGCTGGATCTCAAGCATGGTCAGTCGAAACCGAGGAACAGGCCCCGACGCTACCAGCAGTCAATATAGACGTTTGGAGCAAGGAGAAGGGGACGAGCAATGAAAGTGTTGCGGATCCTTGTGACCTCGGATTGAATAAAGGAAGCAAGAAAGACCAAATAATTAGCATATATCTCCTTTCCCCATTTACCAGTGTCCTCTGTTTGATTTCTTTGGGTTGACGTTTCACACGGCACATATCCATATCCTCGAGTTTTCAGGACGGGACTTTGCATTGTTTGATTATAACGGTATAGATGTTTTGTATCTCTGGAATGCCTTGTTATACTAGTACATACGTGGTAAGTACTATACTCGTCGTACATAGTATATATATATATAGTATGTATACCATATGATAGTTAGTAGTTATCTAGTTGGTTACATGTGTACTAGTTACATACAAACCATGTATGTACATAACTTTGACATATATGTACTATGTACTAGTACTAAGTATGTCGAAGTTATCAATGCTAGTAGAGTTATAACCGTGAACGGATACGATATGTATATCCATAGTATATTTATAGTATACTAATGTACATACATAAGTAAAAAAAAGTACGCAGTAGTTAGGTTGAGACTCGGAATTACAAGGGCCATGTTCTGAAAACGGCCCGCTTAAAGTGGACTTTGTTTATTCTCCTTGAGGCCACGGATCTCACTTTCTCCTTTACTCTCTCAACCCACTCTCTTACTTCACTTCTTTCATTTCAATCCTTTTTTTTTTTATTATTTTCTTTTTCTTTTTTGATCGACTCCTGGCATTGCTTTTGGCTATCCGCTAGATCCTGCTCATCCCATCACTCATTTGCCTAGGGGAATGGCTATGTTCTCTTAAGCTATCCGCCCTTCTATTGTCGGTCTACCTCGGTATTCCTCAGTTTTAACTCCCTACTGTTCTCCCATTTTATTTTGAAACTACCGCAAGATACACCATGGCGGGTCTAGACACTGCCGTGAGCACGGGCACCAAATATGAGTCCGATCTCCGTCGAAGAAATGTCCCTGATACTAGCAAAGTTCATCTGGACTCAAATCGGATGAATGATGAAGATGTGAAGAAAGCTAGGCCACAGGTGAGATAGCCTTTGACATCATCTTATGCGCCTTTCTAAACTCCTCTGGACAGTCACCTTCGTTCCTCCATGTGCTAGCTACCTGGGAGCCGATCATTGCTCCTCTCATCTTGACTGCCCTCGCCCTCTTCACTCGCCTATACCAGATCGGTCGTTCCAACATTGTGACCTGGGATGAGGCCCACTTCGGTAAATTCGGTTCCCACTATCTCAAACGCGAGTTCTACTTTGATGTCCACCCGCCTTTGGGGAAGATGCTAGTTGGCCTGTCCGGTTATCTTGCTGGCTATAATGGCTCCTTTGAATTCAAGTCCGGCGAGAAATATCCAGAAGATGTGAACTATACCTTTATGCGAGCCTTCAACGCTGCCTTTGGTATAATCTGCATTCCCCTTGCCTACTACACTGCACGAGAGTTGAACCTCCGTCGGCCCACAGTCTGGTTGATCAGCCTGATGGTGCTGTGTGAGAACTCATATGCGACAATTTCTCGGTTTATACTTCTTGACTCGATGCTGCTCTGCTTCACATTTACTACCACAATGTGCTGGGCAAGGTTTCACCGGTTGCAGCGTGATAGCTTTTCACTGGAATGGTATGCCTGGCTCTGCCTGACTGGCCTGAGCATTGGATGTGTCTGTAGTGTCAAATGGGTCGGTTTCTTTTGCACTGCTCTTGTTGGTCTTTATACCATTGATGACCTGTGGAATAAATTTGGCGACCTGAAGATGCCACGAGTGAGTACCTGCTTTTAGTCTTCCTTTCCCAAAAGTCGATCACCGATTAGCTGGCTAATATGGATGCGTTTGAACAGGCTGTTCTCGCAAAACATTTGGTTGCTCGTGTTGTAGGATTAATTGTTATTCCAATCTTGGTCTACATGTTTTCTTTCTATCTGCACTTCTTGGTGCTGGCGAACAGTGGCCCAGGTGATGCCCAAATGAGCTCGCTTTTCCAAGCCAACCTACAAGGTACTGAGGTTGGTAGAGACAGCCCTCTTGAGCTTGCACTTGGATCGCGTGTCACACTCAAAAATATGGGCTACGGAGGAGGGCTTCTGCACTCCCACGTTCAAACCTTCCCAGAGGGATCTATGCAACAGCAGGTCACCTGCTATCACCACAAAGATGCCAACAACGACTGGTTTATCTACCCCAGTCGACAGGAACCGGATTATGATGCCACTGCTGATCTGCGGTTCGTTGGTGATGGCGATGTCATTCGACTGATTCATGGACAGACAGGTCGCAACCTGCATTCCCACTCTATTCCAGCACCAATCACCAAATCACACTATGAGGTGTCAGCTTATGGAAATATTACTATTGGAGACGACAAAGACCACTGGAAAGTTGAGGTGGTTGATGATGTTGCATCCCGGGACCGATCTAGGATCCGGACACTCACCACAGCATTCCGACTCCGCCATCCGGTCCTAGGCTGTTATCTGCGGGCAGGAAATGTCAACCTACCTCAATGGGGATTCAAACAAATTGAAACAACCTGTACCAAAGAAAACAAACCCGGCGATGTATACACTCATTGGAATGTTGAGTCTCATACCAACGATCGCTGTAAGCTTATCCTTGTTTTTCTTTTCAAAATTTTGCAATAAGTGAGCCTGATCAGACTTATTGACCTATTCACAGTGCCCCCTGGTGACCCCGGTTCCTATAAGTCGCCCTTCTTGAAGGACTTCATCCACCTGAATGTGGCTATGATGACCTCTAACAATGCCTTGGTTCCTGATCCCGACAAGCAAGATGACTTGGCTTCCAAATTTTGGCAATGGCCGATTCTTAATGTCGGCTTGCGCATGTGTTCCTGGGATGATAACGTTGTCAAATACTATCTCCTGGGGAACCCTCTGGTCTATTGGGGAAGCACTGCGGCTCTTGGTGGATTTGGTCTTCTGTTTCTGTGGTACCTTCTACGCTGGCAGAGGGGGTACAATGATCTCAGCAACGAGGAAATTAACCACATCCACTACTCTGGTTTGTACCCGGTCATCGGATGGGTCTTGCATTACCTTCCTTTTATCATCATGGCTCGCGTGACTTATGTCCACCATTACTACCCGGCTCTCTACTATGCTATCTTGAACTTCGGTTTCTGCGTTGATTGGGTGACACGGAAGATGAATCCCAGATTGTCTGCGGTGGTGTATGCCTTCCTCTACGTGATTATTGTCGGATTATTCATTCATTTCAGAGCCATCGTGTTTGGAATGGAGGGTTCTAACCAGCAATGGACTCACCTCCGCTGGCTACCTGGATGGAAAATGGCGAATGTGAACTAAACATGGATCGCTTGATGATGTGTTCTCGTCTCTTCTTGTTAGCTTGTGTTGACCATCTCAAACTGGACTTTACATGTCTACATGGGACACTTGTATCAAACCAAGGTAATTTCACTTTACTTGCTGTATTTGTAAAGAAAAATGCAATGTTATTAGAAATAGTAAAGTTCTTATTCCAACCGTCATAGTCAGCTTGGTATCTGGTAACAATTTAGTTGAATATAAAGATGTGTAGGGGCTGTATGTTGCTGACTATTTATTATTACGGACTGTGGATTTAGCAACACCCCCCAGTCCAACCGTTACCACCTTTGCGCATAGCATCATCCATTCCCAATGTGATAGTTCTAGGCACTCCCGTGTTTGCTCCTCCTGAGGCCCCGAACCCTTTCACGCCGCTCCGTCGATCATTGAGGTCGTATTTTCCCGTTTCAATGTTACGATAGATTCTCTCGGCCACTTCCAGGAACGCTCGTTCAACGCCATCTCCAGATTTGGCGCTCGTTTCAACATAGCGAACCACTTTATTCATACGGCACCATTCTTCGGCCTCCTCCTGGGTTACCTGCCTTTGATTTGATCCAGAACTGGCCCCCGTCAGATCAGTCTTGTTACCGACCAAGATGACAACAATACCATCTTCTGCGATATGCCGTAGATCCTGCAGCCACTGGGTGCAGGATATAAAGGTCGAATACCTGGATATATCAAAGACTAGGAGAGCGCCAGAGGCACCCCGGAAGTAAGAGCGGGTGATGGACTTGTATGTCTCTTGTCCAGCGGTATCCCACAAGGAGAGTTTCATGCGCTTCTGATTGGGAGAACCTTGTGGCTTTCGTGGAGGGATAGGTAGGCCGGAGGTAGACGCTTCTGGAAATGTATCACCTGATGATCTGGGAAAAGGATCATCAAGTTCTAGTTCTAGTGAAGCTGGAGGACCAACTGGCACAATTCGTGACCCGAACTCGACTCCGATGGTCACATCATGAGATGGGGAAAATCGGCCTTCACAAAGTCGGACGGTGAGCTATTGTTTTGGTTAGCAGTGGCACAGAGTCAAAAGTCCGATAACACTTAGTAGTAACACTTACGCTGGACTTGCCAGTGCCAGAGTCACCAATGCAGACAAGCTTAGCAATATAATCCCATGGCTGTGACATGGAGAGAGGCAAAAATCCAGAATCAGAGATGAGAAAGAAAGCGGAGGTTAGTCTACTTACGATGTAGGTACGTTTGGAGACCTGGGCATGGTTATCAGCTGAGTCATCTATCAAGCCTGACGCGCCCGTATGACGCTTTCATCCGCTGCGTGACCCTACCTACCTATGTACCTATAGCCCTTCACTTCATCCCTAGGCACCTCTCTCTATCTCCTAGATTTGGCATATCTCAAACAAATTCAAAGTCTTTCCTCTCTATTCTCTCCCTTTACTCTCTAATATCCGATCGTACTTGATTTTTTTAGTGATTTATCACTGATCCTGTTTACTCACCGTACTTTCTTTGTTGCGATAACAGGCCATGTTTTCTGAATGTAGGAAACTAGAAGATCTTGTGTGTATAAAAAGACTATATGGCTAACATTTTACCTTAGATGCCTCACGGTTTCTTGCTCAGTCACAGTCACGAATAACCTCTCGACCAGATGAGGTTCAAAGAACGGGTCGTAGCTACCCTAGTCAACACCAAGGCATCCATCGGCACCCCTCATCGCGCTCCTTCTTACGACCTAACGATCCTTATCGACCGGGTGCATCCCAAATATCTCAATTTCCTTTTGCCCCCCGCAGCTCGGCTCAACAAGCTCCCCTTTTCTTCAGTGCCACTGATGAATTCCGGGAGGAAGATGATGAAACAGAACGTGAGCGAGAAATCGCTGATTTCTATGCACTCCAACGATCAAGGCGGCATTTTGGTGACAGCAACTTAAAGAGATCCTCGGAACTTGGGGATTCTGAACATTCAGGTTTGGAGGAGGAAAGCTCACCATACGACGGTCGTCTTGGCAATGGAAAAGGCATCAAAAGCTCATGGCGGGGAGAAGAGGATACTTTTGGCGCTCGTCCTTTTCCTGTCAAATCTGTGGCAGAATTTCCAGAGCATGAACTGGCGTCTCAATCTAGCCCAAGCAGTAGCAAAATCCGAAGTCATCTAGTTGATGTCGGTCTGGAGGATTCTTTACGGGTCGATCTTGACGAAGATCAAGGGTTATCCAGTCCCGGTGCCCACGATGCACCTGTTCAGCGATTCCGAGAACGAGAACTAATCAAGGAGCCCTCCGATCTCAGCCAGCATGGGCCTACTATAGAACAGGCTGAGCTTTTATCGCAAGATGCTCCACGGCCGCCCAGCTCGGCAACCTCATTCCCAACATCGGTATCACCGCTAGCCTCAGAAAACACAGTGCACGATGCCTTCTGGGGTCAATTATTTTTGATATCTCTCGCTGGGTTGTTTGCTTCTGCATTTCTCGTGTACCTTCACACATCTACCCCATCTGGAGACAAATCCAGATGGGGCGATACAATATACATGACTGTCCATGGATCTTTCTTCCTCCTCGGGATATATACTATTGTATCGATTCTTGTGTCTCTTCTCTGGTTGGCTTTGCTACGATCCTATGTGCGACTTCTAGTGCATGTGATCCTAGTCGCCGTTCCCACTATCTTATACTCTTTCTCACTATATCCTTTTATTTCAAGCTTCAAGGGACCGTGGCATGGAACAAGTATCCAAGATCAGGCGATGAGATGGGGTTCAGCTGTCCCGTTTCTCATAGCTACCATGTGGATCTACAATGTTGTGCGCGGTCGTCAGTCTATAGGGAAGGCCATAGGTGTTCTCGAATTTGCCTGTCGAATCTTGACCGCCAATCCCGAGCTGCTTGCTCTTGGTCTGGCTGCCTTGGTCTGTGTTGTTTCCTGGACGTGGATCTGGATGCTGATGTTCACTCGCGTCTTCTTGGGTGGTCATCTCGTTAACTCGAAATCGTTCATTATTGACGTGGGTAGCTGGTGGCTCGGTATCTATTTTGTTGTTATTTATCTGTGGTCGATCGGTGTCATCGCGGGTATTCAGCGTGCTGTCACTGCTGCAACAGTGAGCCAATGGTATTTCCACCGTTTGGCCATACCTGCACCCACCTCGAGGCAAATTGTCCAGGCAGCTATCGTTCATGCCGTCACAACTCTCTTTGGCACGATCTCTTTGTCCAGACTACTGGGGCTACTAGTTCGACTTCCTCTTCTCTTGCTACCAGGTCGCATTTCTTCATTGATCAGTCTGTTCGCCTATTCACTCATCCCCACCCCAATCACTTACTTGACCAACCCCCTCTCTCTCACCTATGCGGCGATTCATTCGCAGCCTCTTGCCGCTTCATCTCGGGGTTTGAGCCAAATGACCATTCTTGCCCCATCGGCGGCCTCGACGTCCTTAAACCCCCGTTCTTATTCTCGGTCCCCTGGGAGCTCGGGATCTCTACTTCCATACCGGCTGTCTAAATTGATCCTCTACGCTGCCCGTTTCATGATGTCTTTGGCCTTAGGGTTCGGTGGTTGGGTGACCACTGCTCGGAGCCTGACAACCTCTGCGTCCGGTGGCACCATTCGTGGTAGTCTTTATGCCTATGTTGTCGGCCTTATTGCCGGAACAATTGGCTGGACCACACTAGGTGCAATGGAAGGTGTGATCGCAGATATTGTAGATGCAGCGGTGATTTGCTGGGCAAGCGAAGTCGGCATTTACGGCAGAGAAGCCCGGTATTGCCGAGAGGCTGACTGGCTCTTTGGTGACTCGCAGCCTCGATTCGGACATGAATATCAAGAGGTCTAGGTCGGGGTCGAGGGCGAGGGCTTTCTCTCTTTCTTCGTCTTATATGTCCCACAAAGCATGCTATTTTCCTGGTTATGACATTTGCACCCTTTCTTTGTACGATTGAGCGGCTATGATATGTCCGTCCATATGCCTTAGCGAAGTTCTTGACTTTAATTAAAGTAGATTCTTTTGTGGAAGACTTGACAGATACATTCTGCATTTACATCATATCATGTACACGATGCCAAAGCATCTCTTTGGGAAAATAATTTATTATTCTGCTTCCCCATGGTATATTCGGATTGCAAATAGCTACATGAAAATCCAGGGCTCGTGGTATCATGAGAAAATATAAAGGGAAAGGCAATGAACTGTGAGGAGGAGAGAAAAAAAAAAAAAAAAAGCAAAAGCAAAACCTCCCCTCAGACGCCATATGAAGCATATTCCGAGCGACCGGGAAGACAATGGAGACAAATATGAGACATGAATTAGAGACCAAGACGTCCATTCCACTCCACTCGTTCCTTCGAGCACCATTCTTTCAGCAAGGACCAACCAAACCGAACCACTTCGATGGGCGGTGAAGTGCCACCAAGTGGTAGGAAATAGCTTCCAGCATAGTCGCCAGCCTTGAGAGATGACCGGCCTCGCTCTGAGTAATTTCGAGATCGCTGGGACCAGATCGTGGGGAACTCGCGACCAAGGACATCTTCAGCGAGACCCCGGGTGCCCTCTAGCCATAGCCTTTGAGAATCCTTGTAGAACTCCGGAAGACGAGCCTTCAGTTCTGAAAACTCCTTCCTGCTTTTCCTGCTCTCATCCGACAGGGCTGCGTTTCCGTCGCTCCCAGGCGTGGGAACCGGGGTGTGCTCTCCGGGAATTGGGCTTATGGCGAGGCGTTCAAGGTCAAGAGTGTGAATGGCAGTGAAGGACACAGCCCCAAGGAGCAAGCAGAGATTGTTCAATGCAGGATATGGTATACTGTTCTTCTTGACTACACGCCAGTATGGCACAATAGACAACCATGTTGAGGAATCCCCGACCTGGCGTGATGAGGCCTTGGCCTGGTCATTCGCTACAAATGCCATAATAAAGGACAACAACGCTTCGATTGCCGTCACAACGGCAAGCTTTTCGTCAGTGACCGAGGTCCCGGTTTTAGAGGTATACCGCTCTGCGGCATGTTTCAGTTCACGACCGATGTTCGCAAACTTTTGCCACTCATCCCACCATATCTGCCGCTCATTGCGCGTGCGACCATCTGCCTGTGTCGGAGAAGCTTTCATGATTGACCCGGGATCAACAGAATGACGTTTGTTGGCGGGATAAGAAGGAGTTTTGCCATCGGTCTCTCCGAGATCGTTCCGACGAGGAATAGGAGCTTTTAGGTCTTTCGCCGGCGTAATGGAGGTCACCTTGATTTTTTCATGGGCGATTGAATGAGAGGTCAAGTGTGGCTGAGGAACTGGCGTCTGAGGCTTTTCGGTGAAGCTTTTTGGCTCCTTTGAGCGACCATCTCGAGGGCAAAGGGCTTCGTCAGTCTCATACTTCTTGCTTTTCGCATCCCCGAATGTGTGCCCACGAGACGAACCAGCATCCCCTCCCTTCTTCCTGGGGTGGGAGACATCATCACGGTCGGTATCCTGGCTAACCGGTGAATCTGACAGATGCGCTTTCCTTTTACCAGAAAATTTAAGTAACGCTTCGACACGCTTTCGGTTCGCTCTTCCGTACCGCAGTTTGGTAAGAAGTTGTGTCTTTTGTGGGTCGGCACGGGCATGGTCTCTTGAATGTTCATAGGTATTGGATTCTTTGGCAGGCAATCCCTTTCCTGCCCGACTATTGCGAGATGGCGAACGGCTCTCAAGGCGGGCCAACTCCTTTTCTATGTCTGGAGGGAGGGTAGGAGACAGCAAGCGCGGAAGTCTAGGGCCACTCGATGTCGGTGGAAGAGTGGGTGAAAGAAGTGCGGGCAGCTTGGGAGAGTGTAATTTGGCAGGGCTAGGCTCTCGGCGTAGCTCTTTCTCGGGAGACAGTCGCAGTTTCTTTGTAGGATGTGCTTCGGACTTCTTGGTCGCCGAGTGGTTAGGGAATTCAAATTCTGACCCAGATGCTCGTTTCTGGCCCCCTCTTTCGGGAGAGAGACGCGCATGTGATTTCAGTGGCATTCCAGGCATTTTAACCTTATCATTATTCTTGAGGGGTTCCGAATGTGTAGTCTGTCGTCTTTCCTCGGACTTAGCGGAGCTTGATGCGCCTCGGCTACCCGCTTCGGGGCCAACGGGAGATCCGACAGCGCCACTAGTCTTCTGAGTCTTGTAGTCCTTGAGACTGATCTTCT